ATAAATGGTAGCTCGTAATCGGCTTGGGTTGAAACAATGTCAACGTGTGCTAGCTCTCCGTTCAGAGACCCGGGCAATGTAGTGTGCTAGTTTATGCAAATTATTGAAACTCCGCGTTGTCATTGGTCGATCGGTACCATGTGCCGACCGCAGTGATTTTGGTCAATGCACTAACATACAAATCGATTGCCTGTGACTCGGCAATGTTTCCCCCACTTTTGCACCTATTGTTTGGACAACAAACCCACCTTTTTTTTACTATGAGAATTAGAATTTTCGCACGTCATAGCTTATGTTATCACATGGTAATGTAAGTATATTCACGTAAATTCACTCTCAACTCTACTCAACAAAATACGCTTAGTGCAATATACTAGTACTTATTTGACTGGTCGAAAAACAAACCCTAAAACACATTTTTAGGGCTTTGTTACGTTTGGAATCTCACGTTAGCTTACCGCAATTATAACCACTCCACCCATCTCGACAGTCACATTTCTTGGTTTCTTCGTCACAGGTACCGTGGATACAAGCGGATTCTGAACAAGATTCTTAGAAGAAAAAAAAAACGATAGAATTCTGAGCATGAAACATTCTTTTGGCTTATAACTGACTACATTTCAATAATTTTACCAACTCACTCTCGTACGTACTCAAATTAAAATCATACAAAATGTACCCTCCGAATTTAGCGTGAATTCTTCGTAACGAATCGAGACGTTGGAATGACTGATGTTCATATCTAGGCTAAGATATTTTGAACCACATACAGTACAGTTTACTACTACCGGTAGTATACGGTCTATGATTGAACAAGTGAATTCGTCGGGTTTTCCACAAGTTTAATCAATTCGTCAACAGAGGGCGCTGTGCAGTAGCAAAATAATAAAGAAAAACAGTTCGGCCGCTGACCAACCATATTTTTTTAGACCTTATGATGAATTATACCTACGGCAGTTATTTCCTTCCCAGCCATTCTCACAAATGCACTCATTTTTATCATCGGAGCATACTCCATGTACACAAGTGCCAGATCCACACGTACCTATGGAAACATAATTATGTCATTAGCCAACTATTGTCATCGTGTTTGAACACAAGAATGGTAACCATAACGTCATAGAAGTTCTGTATTTTTTTGACTACTTATCATCTTAAGACATAATTTTGAAATTGACGACCGAAAAATAAATGGTCAAAATTGCCAGATTAAAAACACAAATTTTGCTTGTAACTTACCGCAGTTATAGCCACTCCACCCTGCATCACAATTACATGATGTCGAATTGCAAGAGCCATAGATACACCCCCGGGAGTAACAATATTCTAAACAACAAGAAGAAAAAAGAAGAACAAATTAGTCAGTATGGCAAATCACTATTTTTTTGACGTGGGAATGAATACTGATTTTATTCTCACTAACTACCTTCTCAAAAGTATATAACTCATGGATTCTAAGTAAAAACGGCACTACCGATAAAAATAATATTCTTTGAATTATTCATTATATTTTCAGCATGAAAAAATATTGCATTATAAAACATGTTTTCAATAAGTCCGCCCTCTGGCGACCAAACACTTCTGTGACGTCAGTATATATATGTATATATATATATATATGTATATATATATATATATATATATATATATATATATATATATATATATATATATATATATATATATATATATATATATATATATATATATATATATATATATATATATCAAAGTATAATGTGGATAAAGGCAAGTAAATCTAATAGATAAATTTGTTTGGCTGTAAAGTCGTTCGTCATTTCGAGTATATTAGTTGTAAATTTCCCAGTAACTTGATTTCCTAAGCATCATCTTCGATGTGAACGGCCCTTTTTCCATCAATTTTCCATCACCAAAGCGTCTCATCAGCAGAGGGCGCTAATTATTCCTTACCGCAGATAGTTCCGTACCATCCCCGTGCACAGCGACATTCGGTGTAGTTACTTTTAGAATTACACCATCCGTTAACACATGAGCCTTTTGCACAAGTATCTATGGAAATAAAGCGTTTCAATGTGTGTGTGTGTCAAATTGTTTTTTTCCATGGAGATTCAAATCAAAAATGCATATAAAACACCACATACCATTTGAAATCATGATTTAAGGAAGTGACTGGAAGATTTGTTGAAAAAATGAAGACAAATCAAAATATGCAGATAAGACACCACGAATAAAAAGATACACAGGTCACACTCTTCCACCCCATGAGTTCGAATGGTTGATCCCTAATTTTACACTAACACAAGTATGAAGACACGTGTCATTCGAATGTATGAACAGACTTGAGCTCTGAGGCGTAATCATGGCCACGTTCAAAACAATGTGTACACATACTGTGGCTGCCGCCCTCTATTGGCAGATTTGAAATGTTCTTTCTTAGAATGTTGGAAGAGCCTCGCGAAACAAACAGATCGAATAGCTTCACCTTCGCGGTGGTGTGCCATTACGCATAGAAAATAGTTCCTTTTTGTTTCATGAATTTTATGCATTTGTAGACTCCTTGTTGTGTTTGGGGTCTTTTATTGATAGTAATAATTATTTTGTGTTGTATTTTGAATAC